TATAATAATAAAGGAAAAGACATCTTACTTTCATAAAATATGAATTACTTTTGTTTGAAGAATTATGTCTCATTCTCCATAGTTAATGCGGGGTTACTCATACCTTCAGGAAAGAACATAAATTATCATTGTTGTGGTTACTTTTGAATAAACAGAGAGCTGTTCACAGATCCCCCTAGAAGACATTCCAAAGATGACTTACAAAGAGTATGGGTGTTCATAAGATGGTTAAATAGAAACACACACAGCACCTTTTCCAATGTCACAAGCTTTTAAAAATAAGTGAAATGCATCTGAGGAAGCAGAAGTATGGGCAAAATGATGAAGATACATTGAACCTAGCACTGCTCACATGCCTTTTTATTATTATTAAATTTATTTCCTACACCATTGCTCTGACTTCAAAGCCTTATTTGTTTTTTGCCAATCAACTGTATTGACTGAAGTAATCAAAGATTGAAGTCAACAATAACAAAAGAAATGTGAGTGACGCATGAAAAAATAATAGAGTTTATGGCTATTGTGCAATCACTTTACTACAACATTTTGAAGTTGGATAGATATGTTAGAGTAAAAGAACTATATAATTTTATGCTCAGCAAATGTTCTTCAACCTTCTGTAAAAGTTGACTGCATTTTTTGTTTTTTTAGTAAATTACTTTTTGAGTTTCTATCACTTTATTTAATATGTACTAATAAAATCTGGTTCTATAACTGGAAAAAAGGCAATGTAAGCTATTTTTTACAAACTTACAACTCTTTTCTCTCACTAAAAGACATTAATGAACATCATACTTAGAAGTTCTTTAAAAATAATTCTAAATTTACAGTGAGAATCCAAGTCCAAAGCAGCAAAAATCCAAGATACTATAATGGATTTTTTTTTTACCACTTTCATCTTTTCAGAATAAAATATATCAAAATAGCCAAGTAAACACAACCTTACCAGCTATGCCTTTTCCAGGGTTTGTGCCACTCTCTGTCCAAGATTGAGAATCAGTAAGAAGGTGACTCTGGGACTCTCTCAATGGTTTTGCAGGAAATTGATGGTTTTCAGGACTGAATAATAATATTCATCATATTAGCTCTTGATAATATTAAGCTGAATTTTTCTCATAGTAAGGAATTCAAGCCACATGATATAATGTAATTGTAAGAATTACCCAAGAAAATCTAGGGAATTTAGGGACAAGACATTAAGTCAAGCTGACACAGAATGAACAACCTGTTCTTTTCAGCTCTTTTTTCATTCTTCTGATTACAAAAAGATAATGATCTTTATGCTGGCAAAGCTCCACTTTTAGTAGCAAGAATCAGCCTCAGCCTCAGCCTTTGGCAGATAAGGGAAGCAAGTTAGAAATGAGTATTTCATTAGTTTATTCTATTCATAAAGTTTATTTGATTTATAACAATTTATACTAGTTTCTCATTTATGATAGTGATACCAAGTTTGGTTTAAAAATAAAATGAAGTGCAATAAATATATTGAAGCAGAACATAGTTTTTAACCAGAATGTGGTTGTGGAAAAATATGATGATGAAACCATAAGTTTATGAAAAACTGGTCTAAATGTTTCTAAAGTAACCTGACTGATACTCAACAAAGAATTATCTTTCTCTGTAAAACTGAAACAACAAATCTGAGCACCATCTTACAAGAACATTGAAAATACCTGACATTGGCCCTCCCTGGTGGTGCAGCAGGTTAAAGCACAGCACTAAGAAACTTAAGCCACTTCTGCATGAGTTCGATCCACGCCTGCCCCAGAGGTGACCACATGGCATGGCAGATCTCTCCTGACGCGCCCGCTGCTCCCCTCAGCAGTGTACTTCGACAGTCTGCCTGTTCTGCTCCCCACTCTGTCTCTGGTGGCTCCTCCCACCCTCTGTATCTCTGGCCTACACCCCAGTTTTGTATGAATAAATAAATAAATATTTTTTAAAAAAGAAAGAAAATACCTGATATTATCAAAGCTTATGAATTTAATGTGTAATTAGGGGAAGAAGTTTAAAAAGAATTTACATATTAAAATTATATAGTTATGCCACATTTTGACATAGTGGATGGCACACAAAAAGAAATACAGAAAATATTATTTCAAGTATGTAGAAAAAAATATTGACATTGAAATTATTATCAGTTAATTTTAGAACACCCTGAAGAGTAATTATAATGCCCCCCAAAGGAAAAAGTACTAAAAATTCCTACAAGAACAACTTTACATACTTCAGTTGAATATAATCATTATATTTTCTAGAGACTATGCTTTTGCTCTTTAATAAGTGCCTCATATATAAAATTTGAGAATATTTCAATCATGTACATATTTAGTTTCTTCTTACTAAATTTTTGGAGGTAAGTGTTAAGTAAAAAAGCAAGTCTCCAATTCACATGAAAAATAGTCTGTTCTAATACTTATTATCCCTTAGGAAATGTTCAACTAATAGATCCTAACTTAGAAATTTTATACAGAATCACTGCTGCTAACTAGATTCTAACAGTGACAAGAATCCATTCATTCAATAGTATCCACTAGTACCTATTATATCAATGAATAATGTTCTTGATTTCATGGACATTGTGTTGTAATTGAGGAGGACGAAGAAGAAAATAAATATACAGTAAGTCAAGCAGCAAATAGAGCTATAACAACAGCAAACAGTATAAGAGGAAGTGGAGAAGCAGGTTACTATTTTACAAAGAGTTTTCAAAGATGGCCTCCACTGTGAAGTTAGAACAGAGCAGAAGATGAATGAAGTATGGTTCGGAAGAGCTGGCAAGTACAAAGGGGCCAAGTATGAGCATCCTTGGTATATTTGAACAGGAACAAAATCTGTGTTGTGAGTATTTTGGGTGTTGGGAATGTGGTGAGAGATGGCATCAGAAAGGTTTGAGGACTAGATTAGACAGGACAAGGTAAGGACATTCATTAGCTTTGATTATGGGTAAGATGGGAAACCAATGGAAGATTTTGAACAGAATGACACAATCTGATTTCCATTTTAAAAGGATCACTTAGACCTTTTAATGGGAATAGACCTGAATGAGGCAAAAATGGAATAGGGAATATCATTTAGGGGGGTATTGAAGTAATACACGTGAGAAAAATGGACTGAGTCAGAAATCAGCCATGAGGTGGTACGCTGGTATCTAGTAACAGCTATATTTTCAGGGAACATCAGAGAGGTTTATAAATGGGGTAAGATCAAGGAAATAGAGAGGAATCTAGGATGACTCCAAAGTTTCTCATCTCAGTACCTGGGAGAATGGAGATCACCAATACCATATATGGAGAAGAATCAGGCTTAGAGATGGGGTGAAGGTGTAGATGGCTGGGAATCAGGAGTTCTGCTTTGTACCTATTCAGTTGTAGATGACTTTCAAACATTTGGGTGGGAATGTTGAGTAAACAGATATAAAACTGTGGGCTTCAAAGAAGAGAACTGCACTAGCCATAGAAATTATATATGAGCTAATCAGGCGAAATTGTAGAATTCAATAGAAGAGACTTTAGCAGTCAAGATACAACCTCAGCATTTAAAGGGAAGGAAAGAAAAGCCTAAAGAGGTTATTTGACCTCTTCAAATTACCTACTTGGGTAACAATGCTAGAAGTAAGATTTGGCCCAAGCCCCATGTGATAATTAGTAGGAAAGAGATACTATATCTAAAGCCTAAATATTCTTAAACTATAAAAAAAAACTTAACACCAGTTAAAAATGATTGAAAACTGCTACCACTTATAAAAGTTTGCAAACAATCTGAAATAGATTATTAAAAGATTTTTTTTTGCAATATTTAAAAACCCCACCAATAAATCTATGGGATTTTCAAGGCAATCTTAGTTTGACCAGGCAAGACTCTAATGCCTTTGAATGTCTATGAAATCCATCAGAATGCCCTTAAAACAGGATTAAGCACATAACTCCCTCTAGGAATGAGATGGCAAACTGGTTTCATCTCTTTTGACGACTGAAAATGACTTTGGAATGTCTGCGAAGATCACTGGATCAAACACTATGATCTCTAAGAAATAAGCACTGGCTGGGAGGAGAGAAAGTAGGATTGTATACATGGCATGCTGGCAACTAGTAAAAGCTCTCCACTTAAGTAAGAATATTATGGTTATGTTTTGCTACTGACGTTCATTAAAAAAAATTAGAGACATGTTCTTATCCAAATAAACGTGTTATAATAGTTTAAAAAATTAGTGTTTCAAACTTAAATTCATAGACAGCATTTTATAAGTTTAAGGAGTTTTGCCTTTTGCCAATTAGCAAAATCAAGTATCAGCACTTCCTATGGCCTTTCTCAAATTATTGATAGACTGGAACTGCAGGTCAAAGTCTTCAGACGTTGAATTTCCAAGATCCTTTGTCTTCCCTTCTTTCTCCATGGTCAGAGGTCTTTAAAGAAAACCTAAACACACTAAATTTTAAGCACTAAATTTTAGGAAACACAATATATTTCAGTGAACCAAAATGTACGGTGCATAAACGCCTGCTCACCCACCACAGAGAATAGTAATATAATTTCACAAAAATACTTGGAACTCCCTACACTCTTCCCCAGCCATTCTTTCCTTCCACCAAGTGGAAAGCATTATGGTAAACTGTCTCATGCTTTAACTTTTTGTTCAAAGGATCATATACCCAGTGTATACAACGGAAAAACATTATTTTAAAGTAAAATATGGAGGAAAAAAAGGATTACTTTTTAGCTGCTGAGTTCAATGCTGCAGGAGTAGATGGTTGTTCAGGATCTTGATTAACAAGGCAAGTTGGGAAGGAGCAGCCATCACCTAGACTACAATTAAAATAATATCTTACAATTGAACAGTCAATGATATAGAGTGAAATTCTGTTAAAATGCTATGTTGATATAAGAATGAATCATAAAAATAGTGACATAAAATAGGAGTTCTTATGTAGAATTGTGCAGTTCTTTGACTGGATTACTTTCATTAGCTTAACAACTGAAAAAACTCTAAACAAAGTACCTTGAAAAAATGGGCAGCAACCAGTACTTCTTCTCATCACCAAAAACTTGTCTCATGTTTTTACTAAAGCCCAAGCTGAATCCATTCTTATCTGTTCCATGTCGAAATACTGGACTTCTAAATGCCTCTACAAAAGATGGTAGAGCAATTACATAAGTGACCACCAGAGCAGCCAGTCACCCCCACATTTAGAAATGATTAAATGAGAAAACTGAAAATCAATAGCGAACCTCTGTGAGTACCTACGTGCACTAGTAATTTTTCAGCTTTAAAATGATTATACCTCTTTAATTTTTAAGTATTCCTTCTATTATGGAAGCAGTATGAATTATAAAAAAAATAGGAAATACAAACAAGCTAATAAATTAAAACTACATCCTCTAGGCCCTTCCTGGTGGTGCAGGGGGTTAAGGCACAGCACTGAGAAGCAAAAGCCACTTCAGCATGAGTTCGATCCCCGCCCCGGTGACCCACATAGCGTGGCAGACCTCTCCTGACCCGCCCACTGCACCCTCAGCAGTGTACTTCATCGATCTGCCTGTTCTGCTCCCCACTCTGTCTCTGGTGAAGCCTCTCAACCCCTGTACCTCTGGCCTGTACCCCAGTTCTGTATGCATAAATAAGTAAATCTTAAAAAAAAAACCTACATCTTCTATGTCTTTTTTTTTTTCAGTTATATATCTACTTATTTTCATTTTACAATAATGTTTACTTCCTCCCTCCCCCACCTGTCATCACCATAGTCCCCCACATTCTCCCTCCTTCTGATACCTCTCTGTCCCCCTCTCCTCTGGTTTATAATTGCTTGTTTTTGTATTGTGTGTTGTATCCTAATAATAATACACTTCCCCCCCCCCATGTCTTATTTGGTTCCCTTAAATTCCTCCTATAAGTGAAACCACTTGATATTTTTCTTTTTCTTTCTGATTTATTTCACTGAGCATATTCCCTTCCAGTTCCACTCTTGTGGCTGTGAATGGCATGAGTTTATCTTTTTTGATTGCTGAGTAGTATTCTATTGTATAGATATACCACATCTCCTTGATTCAATCATCTAGTTTTGAGCATTTGGGTTGTTCCCAGGATTCACCTATTGTTGTGTAAAGGAAGTCTTTTCAGTACAACCAATTCAAGCAATAAGTTTCCAGGAGCTAACAGTTTCTTGAAACAATTAGTTAAGAATTGTAAGTTAGGGGCCTCCCTGGTGGTGCAGGGGTTAAAGTCAGTGTTATCAAGCTATCTGGAGCCACTGCAACATGAGCTTGATCCATGACCCAGGAGTTGACCCACATGGCTCAGCAACCCTTTACTGACCCACCTGCTGTTCCCCTCAGCAGTGTATTTCAGTAAATCTGCCTGTTCTACTCCCCACTCTGTCTCTAGTGAATCCTGTCTCTCCCAGCACCTCTGGCCTCCACCCCAGTTCTTGTATGCATCAATAAAAATAAATCTTGGCCCCTCCCTGGTGGCGCAGCAGTTAAAGCACAGCACTAAGAAGCTTAAGCCACTTCCGCATGAGTTCGATCCCCGCTTGCCCCGGAGGTGACCACATGGAGTGGAAGACCTCTCCTGACCCGCCTGCTGCTCCCCTCAGCAGTGTACTTCGTTGATCTACCTGTTCTGCTCCCCACTCTGTCTCTGGTGAAGCCTCTCACCCTCCACATCTCTGGCCTGTACCCCAGTTCTGTATGAATAAACCTTTTAAAAAAAATAAATCTCTTTAAAAAGTTATAATTGAATTGACCAACATGTAAGCTGAAACAATCTATTTAAAAATTACTAAACCAGTATTTGCGCCTTAGTAACATTTTCTTGACTATCAAAAATTAACATTCACTGAATATATAATGCAATCAATCTTCACTATTATAACAATGGAATCGCACAGCTAAAGTTGATCTGATGTCACAAGGATATTAGTCCTGGTTGCGTTTCTTGGTCTAGAAGACTCTATATCACTTAGTCCCTTCTTACTTCTCAAACATCATAGCATCTTTTTTTTTTCCTTGTATAGTTTTCTAGAGCATAGAAAATTATCTAGTAGTTTCTCAAATCACTTCTAACTTTTCTCATAGAGGCTTTTTTTTTAATTCATAAAACATAAAATTAGCCCTATTAAAGTGATCAGTTCAGTAGCATGTAGTATCTTCACGACTCTGTGCAATTACCACCTACAAAAAGTGCCAAATTATTTTCTCCCAAAGAAAAACCATACTCAAGAAGTAGTCACTCCCCATTTTTCCTTCTCCCTGCCCCCTAGAAAATCAACAGTCTGTTTTCTTTCTCTCTAAACTTAACTATTCTTGATATTTCATATAAATGGAATTACGCAACATGTAACATTTTGTTTTGGCTTCTTCTGCTGAGCATATTTCTACAGCTCATCCACGCCAAAGCATTTGCTAGTTTCACACTCTTCTATGGCCCATAACATACCACTGTGGAAATGCAACACATTTTCTCTTTCTATCCTTGTTGGCATTCGGGTTGTTTGTATTTTGGGCTATTGTAAACAGTGCTGCTATGAACGTTTATGTATAACCATCTAGTGGAGTTTCTGTTTCCAGTTCTCTGGGGTATAAACCTAGGAATAGAGTTCTGGCCCATGTAACAATTCTGTGTTTAACTTCTGAAGAGCTGCCACACCGTTTTCCCACAGTGGTGGCACCATTTTATATTCCCACCAGTAATATGTGAAAACTCCAATTTTTCCATATCCTCACCCTCACCAACACTTGCTCTCTGCCTTTTTTTTTAACCTACTATAGTCACACCAGTACTTACTGTATTTCCATGACAATGAGTGGTGCTGAACAATTCATTGTTTTTCTAGTTTCTAGTTTTTCTAGTTTCTTTTTTTTTTAACCTACTATAGTCACACCAGTACTTACTGTATTTCCATGACAATGAGTGGTGCTGAACAATTCATTGTTTTTCTAGTTTCTTATGTAAAACGTTACTGATGTGAGGTATTTCTTTAGTGTTAAGTCTTTATGGTTATACATTTCCCTCTATGCACTGCTTCTGCTGTATCCCAGCTCTACTGGTTCTGAACATGATTGTCCATAACTGTTTTGTCTACCTGGATGTCCTGGCTCTGGCCATGACTGACCTCTTAGGTTAAGGCTTTCTGTGCCAGGGAGCTCTTCTCTCACCACTCTGCCCACACAGGACCCCTCCACTGTCTCCAGCGCTCATCTCATGTCTCAGCACAGTTTGTTTCCTTCAAAACCCTCTACATTTCATAACTGCTTTTTATGTTTAGGTATTAATTTTATTTGTCCCTTACAACAGACTGTTTTGCCTTGTTTGTTCAGCAATATAAATACACAATGCTTTACACACAATGGACACTCAATAGGTACATGAAATGAGAGAATTTGTATAGGTCTAGATCACCTCCCACAAAGCAATGTCAAAAATAAGAGCTATTTTTACTTCAGGACAGGTTGACATTTAATCATATGGCAACTTTCGATGAATATCTATTTCTGTACTTAAATTCTGTTAGCTACAATAATTGAATACTCACCTAATGTAGATTTATTTTTGCTGACTAGCCAACAATGATAGCCAAACAGAGAAGACAAGCTGACAGAAAACATAGCTGCAGCAAAGAATAAAAACATAATATGGAACTTGGCTTGAGTATCAGGTAGGCCATTCTATAGAGAAAGGAAGAAAATAAAATGCTTTGTCAAAGGGGTAAGTATTCCCCTACTTTTATAAATAAGATTTTTTTACTTAAAGTTTTTCTTAAATTTAGAGCTGAAGATACATGACTTTATCCTAAACTAAGGGAGAATTATATACTGACTAAAAAACAGGTGTACTGGAGTATCAATATATGGACGAAGTATTAAAATTTTGGATATTTATTTTGTTTTACATGACTAAACATTAGAAAAGTTATGATAGTATGCATGTATGTAGGAAACTTGTTAAAAGGAATTATAATGTAATACCTGATATGTTTTGTTAGCATACTATAAATTCACAAATGTTTATTTTTAATATCATGCCAGGAAATGAAAGTTAAGTGGCATAAATTAGGTAATACTCTTATTGGTGCTTTATGTTACTTCAAACCACTACATCAACTACAAGAAAACATAAAAAAAAATCCACAAAAATGCTTCAAGCTATTTAACTAACAGCATCACAGAAAAGATCAACACTAGAGTACCACATGTGTCTAAATAGACCTTACAAATCCATGGGATGAAACAGGCTATGTCAAAGCCAAATCAGATATCCTCCTTGTATTTATTAGCCAAGGAACCTCAAATTTGCTCTTTAATGACAGACAGGCCTGGGCGTATGGACACTAAATGAAACCCCCAGCACTATAAGGAGGTGGCCCTTCCTGATAGAAAGTTATATTCTTCCAGTATTCTGCAGTAATGTTCAGATTTACGTAAATTACAAGATCTCACCGGTGGCTTTTCACTGGTTGTTTCTGTCGAATATATTTATGGATTGGAATTAAAATCACACACAGGAATGAAGCAGTAAAGTGATACTTTCCTAGACTTTCCTTTAGGGATCTTTCTTGAAGATGGACAATGGAAGAATTGCTGAATACTAGGCATGTGGCCACTGACATGAGTATCCCTAGGGCTTAGCTTGGTAACTGGCACAAAGTAGGTAGTCAATAAATCTTTAGTAGTGAATGGGACTCAATTTTCACATAATTGAGCGAGCAATTCAAAAACTCTTATTATAATAAAAAAATAATGAAAATAATAACGCAATCTAGAGGCTAACTGTTATTTGGTGTTCAGGAAAATTATCTATGTATATTTTAAACACTCAATTTAAATTTGTTTGACTTACATTTAAATTACATGGCACAGAAAACAAACGAGTTATCTAAAGTCTAAGCAAGTAATACCTAATAAAAATTTAGGACATTCTAGATACACATAAAGCACTTCTATTTTTAAGTACCAAAAAGCTCTATGCAGACAATTCTTGTTATTGGCCATGATTAAGTTCTAGAGAGTCTCATGAACACTCAGTTTGTGACCACTAAACCATCTTTCCTAGCAGAAACAGTGAATTCACTTCCTGTTAACCTCTGGTCACAATACTCTATTCTGCAGATCAATATTAACACAGAACTCACAGGCAACAGTCCTCTAATTCATGCCTGAGTGAAGCTTATCTAATACAAGGGTCATTTTTGCTCAGAAACACTAGACAGCCCTCTAGCACTCTGCCATGAATATTCTACACAGTGAGATCAACAACAGAAAGCACAAAGATGCAAAGACTGTGGCATTAAATAAACCAAAAAGTTCACTTGCTTAAAGTATGAAGTTTGAAACACAAAGGCAGAGATGGAATTACCCGTGGGGCAACTGTGCATGTCTGCAAATAACCACAAATGCTCTGTGAGCAGTAATTCTGGGATTACAAATAAGTTTTAGCAAACAGGTAAATTCCAGACCACAAAATCTGTCAGCAACGAGGACTGAGTATATGTAAACGAAACTTATTTTATTCTATGAAATTAGTGTCTGACATATTTCACTGGTGAATTTGTATGGCCAAAAAAAACAAGGTAATGACTTACTGTCCAAAATTTGATAAAATACTGCAAGTCTGTAGCAGCAATAAAAAGGCAATACAGCAGAGAATAAGCCAAGAAGAGGAGGAAAAATTTATAATTTGAAAATCCAACACAATTGTTCACCCTGTTAACAAAACAGAAGCAAAGCTGTCAATGAGTTATATGTTTTACCTAGGTATTCCTGTGCTGCTCTTTTTGGTTTCCTAACATTTAAAATACACTGGTGGTGGTGCAGTGGGTTAAAGCACAGCACTAAGAAGCTAAAGCCACTTCAGCATGAGTTCGATCCCCACCCGCCCCGGAGCTGACCCACATGGCCCGGCAGAACTCTCCTGACCCGCCCGCTGCTCCCCTCACCAATGTACTTCGTCGATCTGCCTGTTCTGCTTCCCATTCTGTCTCCGGTGAAGCCTCTCACTGCCTCTACACCTATGGCCTGTGACCCAGTTCTGTATGCATAAATAAAAAAGTCTTTAAAAAACAATGCACTGACATTTCTTTAAAACATAAGATTTCATTCCACACAGAGGCATTAAGAAATCCATTTCACTAAAAAAGGAATTTCTGTTTTTAGATTTTTAAAAATCTAGTATTTAACACTATTTTAATGACCCAAGAACCATAAGCTATAGTTCATGTCCAAATAAGTATGTGGCTAAAAGCACAGAGCTTGTAAGAAACCTAATAAAATCAGCAGATAAGAGGCATTTACAAAGTTCTTTCACTATACTACATTTGGTTTGATAGGCAAACATGCTTAAGAAATTTACTCTTATTAAATGGAAGCTTTAAGAAAAGAAGTAAATAGGAGTCAAGACAGCCAGGGTTTACAAAGCACATTTGACACTAACTTAATTTTGTGGTCTTGAAAGTGGAGTAGTCTGTAAGAATTCATCTTCCTTATCTGAAAATAAGAATTTCTGAGATACTTTTTGGGTGCAAACTTGATTCCAAACATGGATATTTATGATTCTCATTTCCTTCTCCAAAATTACTATATTATCAATAACCCTAAATACAAATACAAGCTAGACTTTGTAGTCACATTTTTTATCAAGTGTTTTTTCTTTTTATGAAGACAAGGGAATTAATAGTGATCTTGTGTAAATGTGATACAATACCTTAGTGGAGCATCATTGGCTTTGTTAATTGTGTTAGCTCATTTTATAAGCCTAATGCACAGAACACAAACATAGCATTTCCTCTCCTCATACATCTTTTTCCTACTCTAGTATTGGTAAGTTACTATATCACTCTCTTTGATTTTGTGTTTAAATAAACACAGAAAAAAATTATTTCCACATTTTTAAGTGGAACTATATGCATATGAAAAATGTTTACTCAATTATACTGATGAATAAGTTTGAGAGATCTGCTGTAGAGCATTGTGTTTACAGCTAATACTGTACCTGCACTTAAAATTTTGTACAAGGCTAGATTTCATGTAGAAATTCTAACAATAATTTAAAAATTATATCAAAAATAAAAATTTAAAGGTAAACCATTACTTTGCTTATAATAAACCAGAAATTGTGGGGGTGAGAGAGAGGAGGGAAGGAAAAAAAAAACAAACTTGTATTTCTACCTCAAGGAATATAAGGAAAAGGGAACTGCATAAGATATAGGTGGGAATTTAGGGGACTTGTATATAGTAAATAAATTCATAAAGAAGTAAAAAATTCTGGATGTGCACTGACTGAAATGTGACTACAAATCAAGTACTGTGATTGTTTTTCATGACATTTGAATGAAATAATGGTAAAAAATAGCTATCACATACAGTTCATAGTCTAACTCTATTCTGTCACCTTGAAAGTGGAATAGCCCATAGAATTCATCTTCCTTATCCAAAAATAAGCATTCTGAGATACTCTTTGAATGCAAACTTGATTCCAAACATGGAGATTTATGATTCTCATTTCCTTTTCCAAAATTATTATATGATCAATAAGCCTCAAATACAACCTACAATTACAGTCACATTTTCTATCAACTGTTTTCTTTGCATGAACACAAGGGAATTAATAGGTGGTATTGGTTTCAAGAGGAAAGAACAGCCAACTCAGGCTGCCGTGTGCTGAGGTTTTGGACAATATGGGTGGAGACAAGGATTCTTGTGGCCTAGGGAGAAATGAGGAAGGATAGGAAAGATACAGTTTTTCCTACAGGGTTGTAAGAGCAGCTTTTGTACGAAAAGATAAATAACATTTTTCTAGAATGTAAAATTACTTTGACCATAGAATTGATGACAGTGAACTTAGTTACTTTAACTTCTGTGTAGGAGTATGTTGTAATTTGCCATGTCAGGGCCAACAGGAGAAAGTCAATAAATAAACAGCGTATTTACCTGATATAGGTTTTAAGCTTGGGGAAATATAATACGAATACTATTTTAAATAATTCCTTATTCTCTTCATACCAGACCAGTCAGGGTTAGACATGTTAAACTTCCTACTGTGATGCAGACTCAATTAGAGAAGGAAGAGGATATATACTGAGTATGAATGATGTTGTATGGAGAAACAAAACATTCTAGGTAAATAATCCTCTTCTGTTATTTAAATTTAGTGTAAACCTCTGCTAGCACTGAGTCTAAACTGGGTAAAAGGCACAAGGGGTTAAAGGGAGCACAATGAAGCTACCCACAGCCACTGCAACACAAGTTTGATCCCCCACCAGGGAGCTGACCCACATGGCACAGCAAACCTCTCCGGGCCTGCCCATTCCTCCCCTTAGCAGTGTATTTCAATCCATCTGCCTGTTCTGCTCCTCACTGTCTCTGGTGAATTCTCTCACCCCATTTCCCTACCACACCTCTGAGCTGTACCCCAGTTCCTGTATGCATAAATAAATAAATGTTTAAAATAAAAACTTTATGAGGGACAGAGCATGCTAAGTACACAGCCCTTGCTCACCATGGGCAATGATGATCCATCTTCAAGACACATCTAAAAAAGCAGAAACACACAAAATCCACACAATGTTAATCACATTAAATTACAAAGGAGATTTAAGCAGTTATTTCAAAAGAATAATGGCAGGTAAAAAATTGCTAAGAATTGAATAACAGAAAAAGTTCACAACTAAAAACTATAGCAAATTCTATTTATAATATATAACTTTCAATTCAAAATATGTATGCTTTAAGAGGCAAATAACTCATTTTTCTAAAAAATTATATTTTGCTAATGGACAACTATTTTATGCTAAAGAAGGAGCAAAATGTCAAGTGTTTACAGAAAGTCTGGATAAAGTAAAGCAGGAAGTACTGCCCTTACGTTAAGTACATAATACTTGGGTGTCAGAAAGTCAATGGAATTAGCTTTATAAAGATGGAAAGAGCCACAGAAAAAAAGCATTTGTTGAAATGAACTAGCAAAGCCTGAGCTGCTAAAAAGCAAGCACTTTGTGTCATGGCAGTGTGAATCTGAGAGGGCAGGCACACCAAAGAAGGTCTTAAATCCACGCCATAACTAAGGAATCCTCTTTGCTTGAGGAGGGCAGGCATCAGCAGCCTTGAAACACAGTGTCAATCAAAGCATGTGATTACACTGGCTATGTTTCCTAAAAGAAGTCTAAGCAGCATGGATAAGGAAAAAAAGTTAGTGCCCTCCCTGGTGGCGCAAGGGGTTAAAGTACAGCATTATGAAGCTATCTGCAGCCACTGCAGCGCAAGTTCCATCCCAGGGATGGGAACTGACTCACAATGCGCAGCAGACCTCTCCTGTCTCCCTGCTGCTCCCCTCAGCAGTGTATTTCAGTACATCTGCCTGTTCTGCTCCCCACTCTGTCTCTGGTGAATCCTCTCACCCTCCGCATCTCTGGCCTGTACCCCAGTTCTATATGAATAAATAAATAAATCTTTAAAAAAAAAAAGAAAAAAGAAAAAAGATAATAATCTGGAAAATAGTGAGAAAAGAAGCATAGTAAATAACAAGGCTATGAGCATGTAGGTATTTTAGAAGCAAAATTTTTTTACTTATCACAGACGGAACAGTGATGGCAGCGATCTGGTTTTATAAGTTGGCATCTGTCACAATATCGGATTGCTAGGAACAAAAAGCTCCAGTTAGTTTTGGACTTAACAATGAATTGTATACAGGAGAAAACCTCCCCCCATCCCAGTTAACATTCTAAAAAGCAAATGGAATTTAAAGTTCCATCTAAAGAAATGAGACGTTCAACTCTGCATAAATGCAAAAATGGCCTGGCATGCCTGCAACCTCACTTCTCTGGCTAGGTTTCCCAGAAGGATGTGTTAGGGGAGACTTTTTAATGCATTCTACACTGTCAGTAGTTACAGTAAGTCTCATAGAATGCACGGATCTGTCTGTTTCTATAAAAAATAAACATCATGGCCCTCCCTGGTGGCGCAGCGGGTTAAAGCACTGCACTAAGAAGCTAAAGCCACTTCAGCATGAGCTCAAACCCCTCCTTCCCAGGAGGAGATCCACATGGCATGGCAGACCTCTCCTGACCCGCCCGCTGCTCCCCTCAGCAGTGTACTGCATCGATCTGCCTGTTCTGCTCCCCGCTCTGTCCCTGGTGAATCCTCTCACTCTCCACATCTCTGGCCTGTACCCCAGTTCTGTATAAATAAATAATCTTTTTAAAAAATAAAATAAACATCATCTCTCGCCCAGTCAAATCAACTATTTCCTGTTCTTACTGGGATAACTAGGTGAGGATACAAACACGTTTTAGAAATGTAATGTGAAGGCTTCCATGGAGGTGCAAGGTGTTAAGTCTCAGCACTATGAAGCTTCCACAGCTACTCTGCATGAGTTCAATCCCTGCCAAGGGAGCTGACCCACATGGCACGACAGATCTCTCCTGTCCCGCCAACTGCCCTCCTTGGCAGTGGATCTCAGTGGATTCGCCTGTTCTACTCCCCACTCTGTCTCTGGTGAATCCTCTCACCTGCTCCCAACCCCTCCCACCTCAGTTCTTGTATGCATAAATAAATTTTCAAGAAAAAAGAAATGAATAAATTCTACTGTTCTTCTACAAGGTAGGTGTCCATGACATGGATGGTATCTAGTCTGGATGGCTGATCTGAATATGCTATTTCAGTGTACCAACTTCTTAGAGGCTGCAAAGGTTACTAAAATTATAGGAAAATGGTGGCTATGTAGGCAACTCAGTAGGATCACTAAAACCAAACTAAGAAATTTGATATCTGGAAAATTTCCTTGCAATAAATAATCATCAGTAATATATTAGCTAACGTTAAAATCTCTGAAAAAGGAAGTAGTATCAAAAAACAAAATGAGCTTTTTTGGACAACAAAGCCTATATAGAGTTGCTTTCAATATGGAAATAAGCTCTTAATCATCCCCATACAAGGCTGTTTTTTAATGTGCAAATATGGATAGCACGGTCAGCTCATGTTCTGGATGAAGAAACCTCAAAGCCACATTCCAAGTGCAGGTATTGTCAGGGGGAAAGAATGTTCTGAATGAACTCCACAGACACAGGTTTTGTGGACCCTGTCCCCACCATAGACATCAGAACTGCAAGTTCCAGCATCACCAAAGGGAAGATTGATGGGACCTGAGGGTGGGGTTAGGCAGCCATATTTCGATATATGAAACCAGACATGTGGGATTTGGGGCGGGGGGGCTCTTGGCCTCATGCTCACATCTTGTCTCTTGACTTTACTCTGGCTTTCAGTGTACTACTGGGGTTCCAGGTCAGCAGAACTGGTAGAACGCATTAACCAACTTCTCTCTCTCTCTTTCCCTGAGTTATTCATTTCCCTTTCTCTTGTAAATAAATCCACTATTAACCCTTTTGTGTGTGTCTGCAGCTGAATCTTGTAAGTCATGGGTGAGGACCCTCAATCACGTGGGTTGCCCTGTAACAGTATCACTATCTCTATAGGGTATCAATGGCTAAATGAATGACTAAGTTATAAAGATTCTTCCTTTATACTACCCTAAATCAAGACTTCATTGGTTCTAACTTTTTATGATGTCACAACTAAAAAGGCAGACGAGAATTAAAGTCAGTTCTGCTCTGGTTGATCTCGGTGCCACAATTCCCATCATGCTTCTACTCTGTTTTATAGAATAGAGCAGGAGAGATTTAAGAGCATTTCAAGTTATGACACAATGTTTTTCAGAGAGCGTCTGACAGTTTCGAGCTTATAACATGCTTTCTAAGAGTCATCACATCCGGTTATGCCCAAGCGTACGTCCTTGGCTCTACCTCCAGACATGGTCCTGGTATAGATGGGAAGATCTTTGGCTGCTCGCCTGAGAACTTCCTGATGAGCTTCTCCTCTTGGCTCTCTCTCCAACAATTCTTTCTCTGCATAAGAGAGATGGAACTGTGGGGCAGATTTAAATTTTTATCAGTATTGTCAAAAGATTGATAGCATACTGAGTTATGCATTCCGATGGGTGTGTATAAAATATTGATGGTAGGATATATATTTAAAGAATCTGAAATCTGGGTGAATCTGTTAATCTTATAGATAGATTATTAGTTTATGCTCCTGGAAAAAGGGAAAAGAATACTTGCTTCCACAAATACTTGTTTGTGAAATTCAAAAGAAACAGAGTATGCAGAAAAGCTTTATAAACTAATACAACTATTAGTTACAGTAGAAGTTAAAACAGCAAAATAAATTTTGGCTCAATGGATAAATGTTTCAGTTGAATATCAGGAATAAAAGTTGTGTTTTCTCATTTACATGAGTTTTAACTTAGGGATAAATCATTACATGAATTCTCCTCTATCAATTAAAAGAGCCATGCATTATTTTTACATTTTCTACTGTCAATCTACCCAACCAATTAAAAAAGTACCTACTTGAGAAAAATGGAACTTTTAGGCTTCAATTTGATATGAAATAAAGTTTCTTTAAATGCCTGTGTGTTACAAGGGGCATGTACAAGCCCATTCATAGCATCACTGTTTGAAATAGCCATCAAAAAGATAATGGCTAAACTGTGGTATGAAATATTCTAGTAACCAAGTATTACATGGCACATAACAACGAACTACAGTTACATACAAGAAAAAATATTTCCACCTATTATGATCAATTATGTAATGTTCATATTCCAAAGTGAAAACAAATTTAGCAAAAAAAAATACAGCTCCGTGAGTTTTTTCTTATTAGATTTTATATCTGAATTTTTTTATTCATAGACATTTTACATCATTGTTCATTTTTATACAATGTATGCTTGTATGCTTTCTCCTTCCAGGTGTATTCTCTGTAAAATTCCCACCATCAGTTCACCTGGAGCTATCACATAGTCCCTTGTGCAATTCTCTCCCGTTTTAATTCTTCTACCACCCTCTCCCAGCATAATGTCTCTAATTTATAGTTGCCTGCTAATTTCTTCATTAATTTTGTTATTTTCCCTCCTATCCCTTATTTGGGTCCCCTAATTCCTCCTATAAGTGAAACCATCCGATATTTTTCTTTTTCCTTCTAGCTTATTTCACTGAGCATAATCCCAAAAAAGAACAAAGGTTTATGGGAGAATTCCAAATAGTTTATGCAGTCATCCCATCCTTAAGGAGAGGAAGAAGAAAGTCCCACTTTTAAAATGTGGTTAATTGCTTCCAAAGAGTACAGGGTGTATACGGGGAAACAAGAACTATCCCCTTATTTACGCTAAGCAAAAAGTCAGAAGGAGAAAGACGAATACCAAATGGTGTCCTTTATAAGAGGAAGGCAGAGAAACCACATGAAAGGTAGATAAGAGCAAACTAAAAAGCTATCCTTAAAAGCTGACTATAGAGCTAGAGCAAACAGAGGGAAGAGTGAGGGGAGAGGGAAGGCAAGAACACAGACATGGCTGCATCGCGGAGGACTGTGGGCCGGGGTTGGCGGGTAAGCAATGGCGACCAACCGGCAGGGGGCGCTACACTTCTAAAATACCAGGGTGAGCTCAATAAAAAGTTTTTTCGTTTACCTCTTCTCCAATTTTTTTTACGTCTCCTTTTCAAAGATTTATACCATTTGAGAACATTATCAATTTAAGTCCAGGAACCTCATTTTAGAAGTGAGGGTGTTTGTGACTCCTGATTAGCCCAATATATTACATTTTATTAGTGGGATAACCTAAAATTCTTAACCAACAGACCTTCTTTCATAGCATTGCTCTCCAATCTCTTGATCATGTAGCCCTGTCAGTGAAAAGTAGCTTGAGACTATGTTGCCAATATAGGCAAACTAACTTGTTACTCCTTTTATTGATTAATATACTGCGTAGGTGAAACTTTTTTTAAAAGAGAAATATTAAAGCAATATAATATAGAAATAAATGTTTGCCTATTTTTCCTCCATGATCCGAATGATGTACTGAGCATACCCACCCACATGTCATCCACACGCCATACCAGAGTACAAGAATACAGCCTGACCAAGACTTGCTTTGATTTCTGCTCTGCCACACACTAGGCAGTACTTGCCAAAGGCTAAGCCTAATGTTCAGAGTCTATTGTTGCCTTTGTGAGATGGTAATAAACAGTATCTGAATCACATAGTTATAAGAACTGAATATAGTATATGTCATTTGTAGAAAAATCACACAGCGAAGTCTGGCACAGATATCATTCACTGTCACTGATGTAACTGCTCCCTTCAGACTGCTTGATTTCTTCTGGGTTTTTTATTGTCTTTTTTTTCTATCCCTTACAGCCACTATTTCAAATCTTTTCTCCAAAACCTCAGTCAAGCTATCTCCTAAGACTCCCAATCTAAGGCAATGGTCTCACATATAATTATAGAGAGAAATTAGAAGTCCTTTTGATTCCCTGTAAAAATGATAAATAAGGGCCCTCCCTGGTGGCGCAGCGGGTTAAAGCACTGCACTGAGAAGCTAAAGCCACTTCCACATGAGTTCGATTCCCTGCCTGCCCCGGA